AGGGTTGGACTAGATGACCCACAGAGGTCCCTTCCAACCCCGAACATTCTGTGATTCTGTGATAGCTCAGCCAATTTGTTTGTTAGACTGGCTCCTCTCGGAGGAAGTGCTCTCATAATAAGGACTGTTACTTAGGATTTGCACCCTTCTCCTCTTTGTACTGGGTATGTCAACTAGTCTAACCCCAAAAAAAGAAACTATGATTTCTGTTATAAATGAAGTTCCCGTCCAAGGGCAAGTGGAAAAATTTCTTGCATTGAGCCCCTTCCCTCTAAAAGCTGGTTGAAAGCCGAGTGTCTGTTCTGCCTCGCTGCTTCTGTGTTTTGGATGATACAGGCATGAGCCGGAGCATGAGAAACAAGGAGCAGTGTTGTTCCTCACACAAGCACCTTACACACCGGGAGGCTTTGCAGGGCACCATGAGAAAAGTAGACATTAAGCAAGTGTTTATTTTTATATCCCATCAAAGGTTCTGTCCAGCCCACTGCTATTTAAGTGATGAATCTCTAACCTTCACTCCTGAAGTTTATTGTGGTTTTTATATATAATATATATAAAATGTCTTTTATTCCTTAAAATTTCAGAGAGAAGAATTTATTCTGATGCTGCAATAAAGCACTTTATGTATGTATGTGTTGCTGATGTCATTCAGTTAGGACTGAAGTATATGTTGCTATTTGTTTTGGTTGAGAGGGATAACGCTATGTTGAACGCTACATGTTGTGGGTCCGCAGCCCCAGCTGCACTGCAGAGACCCTGGTGGCTTTGCTTCCTTCCTTGGCATTTGCATTTGATGGTGTCTGGCTGCAAGAATCGCAGCTAACAGAGACTGGCTGGAGCCCACTGCCACAGCCATGGTTAATGTGAAGGTCTGCTCACAAGGAAGGAAGCCTCCCATGAGAAGATCGTCAGGGCAGTGCTGAGAAGCAAATGCATTGCCTGTGCCTCAGCCCTGATACCAGGTTTTATTCCATGCTCAGCCTGGCCAGGGTTGGGTGCTGGCCGACCTTACACCAGCCCGCTACTTTAAGCAGGTGTTGAGCATGGGAGTGGGTGAAAAAGAAAACCCCAGCAGCATCCCAGCTGGAAAACTGGTGTGGCAACCACCTCCACAGTCAACAGCTAATGATAGCAAGGGGATTTGCAAAGCTTTCCAGGGATCACAACTTTTTGTTGCCATTAATTTGCTGCGTAAATTGTGACCGCTTCCAAGCTCTTGCTCTTTCCAGCTGTTTTCCTTCCTTCTCTCTTGCTGCTTTTGCTTTGTGCTGGCTGCGCATCTGTCAAGGGTTATCTATCTGCTATTCCAGCATGGAGCTGTGCTCTGCAGCTGCCTGGCGCCATTGCTGGCCCCTGCCTGGGGGGAGCAGATGGCTCCTCTCCGTGAAGGATGCTCTGAGCTTCCCGCTGGTCTTCTGCAACATCAAAAACATCGTGGCGTGAAGCCCAAACCAGGGGGAGCAGGCTGAGCTCTGCTCTGCAGGAAAAGCAGCACAGAGAAAATCAGTCTTTCCCTGGTGGGGCAGCCAGCAGTTGCTACTCTGTATATGACGTGCCTGACATGCCTTTAACCTCTGCAGCAAGGTCCCTGCTGCGCTGGATGCTGAGCCCTGCTCCAGAACTCCTGGGCTACAGAAATCACACAGCCAGGATGGAACCAGAAAGAATTGCTGCCCTAATTCTGCAGGTGCTCAAGACCTCGAGATGTCACCTGAAATCACAGAGTGAGTCTGCGGCAGAGTCTCAAGCTACACCTGTGCCCACTGCTTTGAACACAAGACTTCTTGTCCAGTTGAATTGTCTTAGTTTGCCAGCCTGGACTGGATCTATGTGTGGCTCAGCTGTACCGGTTCCATGGCATCCCACTTGCAGCTGAGTTAGTTTGCACACAGAAGGAGCCGTGCCCAGATTTTGCTAGGCACCACGATCAGCACGTGTTTGTCCCTGCTGACCTTGCCTCTTGGCCCTAGATGAGTCAGGAGCAAGCTGTGCAAAAAAGACATTTTGGCCGTGAACGACATGTCGAAGGCACGGGTGCATGGTCAGCTGCCTGGGGCACAGCCAACGTGAGTGCAACCCATCTCTCGGGGATTAATGCCAGATAGCATAGAAACAAGTTTACAGCAACAGAGATCCCATTAGCTATCTGGTTTTTTTCAGGGCTTCTGCTCCAAGAATCAGCTTCTTGGAAAGCACACAAAAAGCCATGCTGGGCCCAGAAGGAGCCGCATTGGGAGGAGAAGGCAGAGGACGATAATGCCAGGAGAGTTTGGCCAAAGCCTGTGGAGCAGAACTGAACTGCAAGGCCTGGCCTTAGCCTAGGAAGAGCAAAGTGTGGTTGTGATGGTCTGTGGACCTTGATTTAAAACTGAAGCTCTAGATTACGACAAAAAAATGTTTCGGGCAGCCCAGTTCCTGGTCTGTAAAAGGACCCATCCCACTGTGTGGCCACAGCAGCCCTGGCACAGCGTGCCACCCAGCCACCAGCATCTCTGCAGCAGAGTGAAAATAAAAAAACCAAAAAAATCACACTAGCTGCAGTTCTTCGGCCGTAGCCCTGCTGAGCGCAGTGTGAACACGGGGTGAACAGGAGCTTCTGGCAAGACCTGGTCTCCTGGGCTTTGCCTTCACCCCGAGTGTGGAGAATCACCTGCAGTGGGTCCCCAGCACGCAGCAGAGCCCATCCTCTGCTCCGCTTCCACTGACACCATGCAGAGAGATGCCGAAATTACATATCCCGACATGTCTACGGGATGCGAGTTCCTCCCTCTGTCTCCGCAGAAGATGGACCCACACGTTTGCAGTCAGGAAAGGAATGTCTCGCCCTCCTTCCCTGCCCCG